AATGAAGTTGTTCTGCCATCTGCCGGTGAAGCTATTGTATATAATTGTGAAAGTCCCTTTTAATACTGTAATGAAACTTGACAAATGAATACAAGCTTTTCAAAATTGTACAGTCGGCATGCTTTGAAAAAAACATTTACACCATCTAAATAACAAAAAAAATCTGATCACAGTACAATTAAATTTTAAAAAAACAATGGCATAATGAAATCTCAGAAAGTTGGGATCCGATTAATTATTTACTGAATAGAAGTACCATTTTACAATAGTTCAAATGAAAGGTTTTTTTTTTTTTTTTTTTAAATTCCAGTTTGTAGTTGTTTAGCCATTTCTTCAAGAATGGCAGCATCATGACTCTGCTGTCCCTAATGTAATTCTTTTTCTCTCTCCTTTTTTATTAGTTTATAATATAAAATAAAAAAAATACGAAAATAGGGAAGTGAAAAGAGAAGATTGTAGTAAAGAAAATGACAGGTAAAGAAAATGACAGGTAAAGGCTGGTTGTTTTGAATAGGATAAGCAAACCAGTTTAAATAAATGATACACTCATGAAGCACTTTGTTGGAAGCAAATGTGACAAATAACCATTTTCTTCAGTGAACCAATTGTACTTAGATTCACAGACCATTGGGACAGATAACATTAATTCTCTAATTTTTATATAATTTTTAAAGAAATTTTTATTTAAATTGGTGTTTTTCAAATTGCTGTTTGGCAACTTTAAGATATGTGGACTTCAACTTCCAGAATATCTTACCCATTCTGTGGGAATTCTGCAAGTTAGGGTTAACTCTCTTAATAAATTGGAACTTTGAGCAATACTTTGCCTTGGAATCTGATTTAATTTTGGATGTTATTTGGAACCCTGACATTATAATTGACAGAAATGTAATAATTGCACATGAAAGATAATAAAAGGTAACAGAAACAAACCAAGTCAAAGTAAGTAACTATACCACTGACTTATGAAGATATTTCCAGGAAAAATCTATCCTGGAATCCTCATGAAACAATGCTTACATAAATGTCACTATCAGTATTGCCAATATTGCATCCTGCCTGTCTTGGTTCTGTTCCAAGTGATTGCCAATAATCTGGTCCTGTTTGGTAAAGTTCCCCCTTGGTATAGAATGAGTTGATTTTCTTCTCTGGCTTTTCAACAGTCACAATTCAATGCATCACCAGGAAAAACATCCCTTATTTGGGGCATCTCAGCAAGAATGGGGAGGATTTTATTCCAGAAGTCTGCCTCAATTTGGGTGTTTTATCTGTCCGCGCTTGGCATCCCATTTTCACATGCCTCTAATTAGTACATACTAAAGGAGCATTTAAGAAGGTACTCAGGAAGAAATAGTTCCAAAGAGAATTGAGATTAACCTTCCATTGGTTGTACAACTGGTTAGACCCCACATGTTGAATTGCTTCTCTCCACCCCCCCTGCACTTTGTATCCCATTTTTGCATGTCCCATTTTAGTATAAATAAAGAAGCAGTTAGTGGGTGAAGACTTGGGAGGAGAAGTTGCAGCTAAGTAGAAAGGCTTATTAGGGAAAGTGGCTTTGCATAACCTGGATAAAAGAGGTTGCAAATAATATTGTCATATGGAAAAAGCTTGGTTTTGGCTGGAAGTTCAAAGGCAAAATGGCTAGAATGAATTTTCCCTGCTAAGGAATTTTCTAGAATGGAATTTTGTAAATAGAATTGCCACCTGAAACATTAAATATGGCAATCTATTTTTAGTTAAAGCAAAAGCCTGGTTCAAAGTTATTAAATAAGGAGCATCAAACCCAATTGCATTGCAGGCTGTATTGTGAAATATCAGGATGTTATTTGCCTTTGCGAAGCTGGGGTGGGCGTGGCCTGTGCAGGCCGTATCCAGCCCATGGGTCACCAGTTTGACAGGCCTGCATTAAAGCAATTAGACAGATGTGGTGGGCCTGAATTCTGTACATATAAAAGGGTGTCACCTAAAAATCCATGATCCTAAAACATAGTAAATACATAAAGCCTAGAAAAAAAGTTTAAAAAAATCAAACCGTGTATAAATAAACGCTATTATTGTTTTATTTGTTAAAAAACCCTCATCTGAATGACTGAAATTAACTCTCTCCCCCATTACATACTCTGGAACAGTCTTGCTAACCTGTGAAAAGTCACTACAGACTCTCTATTGTTTGTTATATTAGGGGAGGGGAGCATGTACGTAAGTTTTAACTTGTTTAGCTTTAGGATAGAGAGTACAGAAAGTAGGGTCTCCAATAAAATCAATTTGATTGATTTTGATACGTTTCATAATAGTTTTTGATTGCGTCTTATAAAATTTATTTTAGTCCCATTTAACAGATTTTTAACTTAGTTTCAATAGTCTCTTCAATCCATTTTTTTTTTGCAAGGACAAGCTGAGGGAATGATAGATTCATATACAATAGAAATGCAAATGAAATTGCTTTCAATTCAGAACAAATGCTAGTTGCTGATAGTTATGAAGAGCC